GACTGGAGACCTGTCCAGGGTGTCCCTCGCCTCTCGCACACTTACTGCTGGATATAGGCACCAGTGACCCCCGCGACCCGAAAAGGAAGAAGCAGGTAAAGATAATGGATGGATGGAGTTAGACTTTTATAGATTAATGTATAAGTATAATTTTTTTGTGAATTTTGGAATAATATTTTGACAATTTAACTCATCTGTAACTGGCCTTTATTTATTTTTTGTGTCCTGTGAGGAATTTACTTACTTTCACAAAATGTGGACGACTACAGAAAAGACACTGAACTGCATTTTAGTCAGTTAATGTCCATGAAAAATCTGAGCTGCTGGTTTCCTACCTGTACAAATCACATCCAGTTTATTTGTACATACCTGTTATCATTTGGTCATCTAAATAATGAGCAAAACTAGTGTTCCGTTTCCACGGCAACAACTTCATCGCCCTTGTAGGAAAAGTAGCTCTGAGTGTCTGAAAGCACTAATGCACACAAACATACAGAAACATCCATTTGTAAGAAGCTTACCTGGTATGGATAGAGCGTAACCCCTCCATTAGTTCGGTTCTGGTGCTGATGGGCCTGCAGAGCAGCTGTACTCAGGATGGCGCCACTGCTGTTATTACTGCTGTTCCCACCATTGGTACTGGGGCTGCTTACTGCAGTCACTGGTTGCTGTTGGGCACCGGCTGATTTTACTGAACTGGGGGATCCACTCCGTTTTTCCGCACCGGCTCCCAGACCCAGGGAGCTGGGTTTGGACCCCAGTCTGTGCCCTGCACCTTGAAGTTGTGAGTTTGTTGAAGCACAGCTGGATGCTGGTACCAACGAGGGACTCCCCTGACTGGGGTTGGGTGGTCCATGGCTTGAGCTTGGTGTCGGGGTCTGGCTTGGGCTGGGAGAAGGTGACTGGGTAGATGACTGAGAAAGGAGTGAAGCAGCAGTAGAGGATGAGGAGGAGGAAGGAATAAACTGGGCCGGCCACTCCCGTGACACTGGACCTCCTGGTGCTCCAGATGCTCCGGTTTGTCCTAGAAGTCCATGAGATCCATATGGTCCAATAAGGGCTGGAGGAGACGAGGTGGGAGACAAATCCCACTGGTCCAGAGTCAAGACCATGTGCACAGCTTCCTGTTTGAGAGTAGTGAGGTGCGTGGCGCAGACATCACAACGGCTGTCTCGCTCGTTCCACGCCCGTCGAGAACTGTTGGGCACCTGGAGCTTATCATGGAGGAGGAGTGAGAAGGACGGGTCCTGCGTGGACAAACCAAGAAATAAAGAGATGTTAATGAGACTGGAGGAATAATTACACTCATGACAACTGACCAAACGACAAAGAAATCAGAGAGAGCAATAAGAAATCATAAAATCTCCTGATGCATGCTCAATAATCCAGGTAGAAAAATCTCAAAAAGTTCAATCTGGTCCTCTGGACATTAAAAAAAAACATGTCCAGAGGACCAGATTTAACTTTTTTAGAAAAAAATCATAAAGCTGTTTAGTCCGGATTATTAACTCAATCATCAAACATTTTTATTTTGTTTCAGGTAATATGTAAATCAGGAAAAATGGTTGAATTTTGTTTAATTATTTTGTGATGAATGATGAGACTTTGCACTTTTGAATCATCTGTAAAAGTTTCTGTCTCAGTAAAAACTGAAAGAAATAAAAAGTTTAAAAAAAACAACAAACAATTTCCTAATATTAAATGCTTGACAGTTCCTTTTGCTCAAAAATAAATAATTTATCACCAACATTTAATAATGAAAGCAACTAATTTCTACTTTATATAAGAAGATAATTAATTGTCAATCAGTTTCTGACTGCAAAGTTACTAAACTTTTTTTTAATTAAAAGCCAGTAAACATTTTATTAAAGAAGAAACAGCTCAGTAAAAGTGGTGCAAAATATTTTGTTTATTAATCTCCTAAAATAAGTTCAACTTAAATATTATATATGAGATACACTACCACACTAAATGTAAAATACACTAAAACACTTGTGTTGCAATCACATTAAGTAATTTTGTTAGTTAAAAACAAACATTTTAGGCTGTTTCACTATCTTCTGATGCTTCTCAAGGTTCAAGGTTCTTTATTGTTATTTGCATCACGTGGTACATGAAGTGGAATGAAATTGTGTACTCAAGGTCCCGGTTACACCCAAAAATAGCAATAATATACACTATAAAAAAAATAAAAAGTATACAAGGATCTAAGATATACGCTAAACAGTAATAATATAATACAGTGTATTCTCTTTATTACTATCCAGTTATTCATGCTGTAAAAAAATGGTAGTGTGCATAAAGTATACAAATAGCTTTATGTGCAATGCAAAAAATAAATAAATAAATTAACAAAACAACATAAAATGTGTACTTTGCTTTCCTTAGAGAAGTATCACACAAACCAAAACATCAGAATATATTGCACTAATAAAGGAAGAATGGCTGATATATGAGGGATTCAGAGGATAACCATTTATTTTGACCAGTCAGTGTCAGCATCAATGCCTGCATGTGCAAGCAGGAGGGTGTTTTTAAAGATTAATTGGAACCAGTTGTGCAGAGCAAAACCATACTAAATCTCCTGCTAGGACTATCTGGTCAAAATAACACAGTTAACAAGCAAATGCACTCACACAGAAACACACAAACCCTGATTCAAATCTGTGTCTAAACCTCTTTTGACCCCTGGTGGAAAAAGCACCTCATACACAGTTTACATCCACATCTTCTCCCAGAAGAAAATCTACATTAGCAGATTTTTGAATATCGTACTTTTCGTTGTAGTCACCTTTTTGCATAAATTTACATGCCCTGCAACTTATACAGCAATACTTATTATTTGTTTTTCCCATATTTATAACCCAACTTTTGGCAGAGATTTGATGATCTCACTCATTCTGACATGGAAAATATTGAACACTACCACAGCCACGTCCTCGACTAATACGGCAAGCCAAGTGTCTCATTAATAGGTAAAAGTGGCTATTAATGAGACACTTGTCCTGTCATACCAAGCCACCTTCATCTCGCTTCAGAACTCCTGGAGCAAATGTCAAATCAGCTGCATTTCGCTGCACTGCCCAGGCAAAATGTAGCTGATTTGACCATTAAAGTGCATTTATTAAGTAAAAGTTAGAATGAAACACACCTTTACTATAATTTCGAGCAAACATATAATTGTTTTTAGATGTTAATCTTGTTAAATTCTTGGTAAAGTCCTCTTGTGCACGCTCCTGTGGCCGTCATTTGGCAGCCAATCGATTTCTGGCACAACACCGGCCCACGTTTCTGGGTGGTCAGCAGTAACGCATAACAAATGCAACTTGTACGGTGGTGCAACATGTATGGCGGAAAGTACGGTAGTTCTATAAGAAAATAAAAAAAGTAAAATGGACAAAAGTGTCATTTGAACAGCTGCTTTACCAGCTCAGATGTTTTGTTTTCATTATCTTTTTTTAACCAGGCAAAACTCACTGAGATCGCAGATCTCTTTTGCAAGAGAGAGAGAGTCTAACATGCATGTTTTTGGACAGTGGGAGTAAACCAGATAACACTCACAAACTCCACACAGAAAGTCCAACCTGGGGCTTAAACCCAGAAACTTTTTTTCTGTGTGGCATCAATGCGAACTACTAAACCACATGCTACCCTTTTGAGTAGATAAGTGCATCACATTAGAAGAAAATCACCATGTGTAAAGAATGATGCAAGTGATGGATTGACTTTGTTTACTGGCATCTAATCAATCCATCAGTTGTGAGCATGCACAGTTTGTATGAATGTTTGTGTCTTCAGTCATCAAGTATAAGTTGGACGTCTCCTTGAAGATCTAAACAATCCAACTCTGAGTTAAAGAGACAGATGACTGACAGAAAAACAAGCATCACAACTGATTCACTAACTGTCTCTGCAGTCATGTTTTTGCAATCAGTATTTTCTTTAAGACATTGAGTTTGAGAGTTTATTGTGTGTCTGAGGCACTAATTGGTTTTGGTATCATCAGAGACTGACAAAACAGCTTTAACACAATTTAAAACGCTCTCCCAGTTAGTGGATAAATAAGCTTCTGTCGCTAACAAACCTGCTTACCTCACTCAATCAATACACCCTCTGTGTTTGTGCATGCGTGTGTGTATGTGTGTGTGTGTGTGTTTTATAGGGATACAAAGAAACACTTCATCTAATAGTAAAATGCCCGTTTTTAATCTGAGGGATGCCTGTTTGGCTATATAAACAAACCACAAGACCACCACATGTACACTCATGTAGATGGCAGGAGCATAGTCTGTGGTGTGAGCGTGTGTGTGTGCGTGCGTGTGTGTGAGTGTATGGGTGGGTGGATGGTGTTTAGAGATAGAGTACCTTGTAATTTGTGCAAACCAGTTGGCAGTGCAGTTTGGCAGTCTGGCTCAAAGAAGGCTGAGGTGAACTCTGACATTAAATGCTGCAAACAATTGTTTTTCTCTGTATGTGCAAAAGTTTTCACACAAGCTCCTGAATTAATCTGCATAACAAAAAGAGCAGCAGCCGTAATAATTTTTTTTCTGATTTCCTACTGCTTCATATTTAAAACATTTGGTTTCCCCAACATCCCAGTGGCCAGGGCCAGATTAGTAACCCCAGGGACCCCTGGGCACTGAAGCTCACAGGCCCCCCTCCCTAACCTAACCAAACACCATATTAGGGCTGTTAGCGTTAACACATGCGAGTAATCTAAAAAGATTAACTCATTAATATTACATAATGCAGATCAATCCATTACTATACTTTTTACCAGTGTTCCCACTAAGCAACACGCCATCGCAATCGAGCACTGCTCGTACATTCTCTGTGCACAAGAAGAGCATAGCAGTCTCTACAACCTGTCCCCCGCCTCCCCACCCCAGTCAAAACAGACCTGTGTCACGTGATTTGTGTAGCAATAACAGAAGTTTACGAAGAGGTAAAAAATTCAACCAATGAAATCACAGGCAAACTTTGATTCCAGCCAATCAGCATCTTCTGCAATTTTGGCGCTGATGTGCGAAGAAGCTAAGTAGCTAAGTAGCTACAAACAACCTTGGCTTCTAGCGCTTTTCCAAGCTTTATACTGCATATTCCATCCCATACTGAGGAATAATATTTGACCTAGATTTATCACAGAAGTTTATGGTCATACAACGTCAAACTAAGGCGGTAAGTCAGTTAATCCCACAACTTTTAGCCATTTTTATCATGCTAAGTGGTAGCAAACAGTAGTGCTTGGTGTATAACTGTGTATATCTGGATGGTCAAAGGAAAAGTTTACTAACAGTGGTGAGACCAGCTATGTGGTATGGTCTGGAAACAGTGGCATTGACAAAAAAGACATGAGAAAGAACTGAAAGTGGCAGAAATGAAGATGTTGAGGTTCTCCTTAGGAGTGACAAGGATGGATAAGATTAGGAATGCGATCATCAGAGGTACAGCACAGGTTGAACAACTGGGAGATAAAGTTAGAGAGGCCAGATTGAAATGGTTTAGACATGTCCAGAGGAGGGACAGTGGGTATATTGGTAGAAGGATGTTAGAAATGCAGCTGCCAGTGGCCATCATCTTGTATTTTGCAGGTTGAAATGTGCATAAACCAGTGAAGTCCATGTCAGGTTTTTCATAAGTTTAAAAAAAGATCTTATACAGCCCCCCCAAAAAAAATCACATATTTATTATATA